TGCACTGCCCCCTATCCCTCACTGTGGAACACAGGGGCCCATTGCCAATTAATCAGAGCACTTCCGCCTGCATGTGACCTCCCAAATCCTTCTCAACCCAAACCTTCCAACAACTACCCATATTTCACCATTGTCATCCACTGTGACACCTATTTTCCATCTTGGCTGACCACCTTCTTATCCTCGCTAAAGAAGCAGACAAATCTGCGGAGGGGGAGACGAACCATGAGAGGCGATGGACACTGAGAAACAAACTGGGGGTTCTACAGGGGAGGGGGGTGGGGGGATGGGTTAGCCTGGTGATGGGTATTAAAGAGGGCACGTTCTGCATGGAGCACTGGGTGTTATGCACAAACAATGAATCATGGAACACTACATCAAAAACTAATGATGTAATGTATGGTGATTAACATTAACAATAAAAATTTAAATTAAAAAAAAAAAGCAGACAAATCTGCCTAGAGCCCAACTTACCATGCAGAAGAAAGCCAAGTATTGAGTGGGCAGAGCTGGCCAGCTGATATAAGAAGAGTAAATGACTTTATAGTATTACCTCCCAAATGTTTCTTAGATGAAAGATAAAACATTTAATGGGCTCTGAAGGCTAAATTGCATTACCTTCTCATTTGAATCTCTGTGATTGATGCGGAGAGGCCAGTGCTCCTGACGCGTGGTCAGTAAGACCTTGTCCCACCAGAGGATTTGGGTTTAGGTCCTCTCCAGGTTTAAACTGAGCCAGAATTTTATCAAAACGGTCACCCTGCTCTTTGGACTGTACATCGCCTAATCGTTGAGCTCAGCCCAGGCATTGTGTAGACTCCAGCCTAGCATGGTACAGTGAGAGACTAGGGCATGTGCTGGGGATTCCCTCCATTTCTTCAGCCTAATCACAGGCATATAATGGCCAAGTCAGTTTCTATTATTCAGGTAAATGGAGACTTTATGTATGAATTTACTAGTCTGGAACCTTTGTAAGATGCAAAGATGGATTTTAGAAAAGAAAAACTCAGTCTTAGCAGTGCCTATTGAACTAGAAATGGGGTTACCAGGCCACCATCTTGTGAAAATTAAATCAGCCCAAATAAATGTGGAACAGGGCAAATGTCCTACCTCCCAGGGTTTCCTTTTAAAAAATCATGTTAACTACATTTGACCTCCATAACTGCTTTTGGCCTCTGGTTTTTGTTTTTAGTCAAAAACATGCACTTTATCCACGTCTCTGTGGAACAGAGGGCAAATGCTCCAGTTTATAGCTTTTCATAAATGGTGCGATTCGGCTCGGCATTTGATAAAATGAGTTGTCATGTACACATGTCAGTTAAAGGTAAAAGTCGTCCTGAACCTGATGAATTGCTTTCTTTTGACCGTGATTCCAGATGAAGTCGTTGTCATAGGGCTGACGGTTGTTGCCATGTCTTCTCTATACTCAGCAAGAGTTCTTTTATCTTGAGCAGCATGGCTTTTCTGACTTCAAGTGCTCTACCAAGAGCCTGTTGCAAACAAGAGTATTTGTATCAGAAGTCTGGGTATCTTGAAATTGGAATGTGGGGTGATTCATGAGGTTTGCATCAATTATTAAACAGTCATAGATGAAGATCTGCAGAGATGGATGGGGCAGTAAAGTATTCTGGTTACACCTACTGGCTTAGCCATGATAAATGAGTCCGGAAACGTGAAGGTTCAGAACAGGTATTAACTCGAGCTGCAGTGACCTGTGCTCTGAAGGGAGGTAGACAATAGCTGGATATAAACAAGCTAACATACACACCAACTGAGTGGCAGGATTAAAATAAAGCTAAGTTCCTGGCTGGAGGACTAAAGAATAGGAGAATCCTGCCATGCCAATCACCCTTTGTCTTACAAGTTCTTGAGGAAGGCATAGCACAGATAATTATAACACTTGGAAAATAAATGGGGCATTTTTATTAGCGGGAGCCATGCCTGGATCCCTCATAACGCAGAGCTCTAGTAACACTAGCTTGGATCATGTGGCTCAGCTGTGAGCTTGAGTACTACCTTGTTTTGGTTTGTGTACCCCTGAAAGGGAGAGTGAAGACATTTTCACAGAGTCTCTGGACAAAAGGACAAATGTGTATGTATGTCATCTCTGGGGGGAGTGAATTTTGTTTCCCTTGGAGTAACGTTTTCTTGGAGACTGAGACAGAGACTGACCTTGGAAAAGGTATACTTAACTCTTCCTTCTGATACCCAACTTCACTAAAAGGGAAGGCCCATCTTTTGGTTCCCAATGCACCTTCTAGAACTCTGGAGTCTGTGTCAACATTGCGGCTAAGAAGGGTGTAGACTGCAGTTTAGCCAGTTGTTGGCCCTAAAGACATAGTGTGACTCTGGTAACCTGTACACTCGGCTTCCCCACTGCTCTTTCCTTCTGGGGGCTGTTTATGTCTTCAGTAGATTGAGAGCTTTGCCTCATACTGAGGTACCTGACAGAAGCCTGAAGTGAGAAGAAGCAGCCATGTCCGCTTTAGGTTCTGCGAAAGTCAGGAAGCTTCATGAATAACCCCGTTGCTAACCCCTCACTGAAAAGCCAGAAGCAGGAACTAGTGTTAGAAGTATATCCTAGCGCTCAAGTGCCTTTCCCAGGGCATTCTGAGGCGGCTGCAAACATTGAACAGCCTCCTTCTCTCCTCTTTACGTGAAAGTGCTTTGCTAAGATAAACTCTAACAAAGGAAAGTGGTCTAAGAATTCACTTGTGATGCCGGCTTCCCAGCCTTGCTGGGCTTGCTTACTCCGCAATGGGCACTTGTTACCGAAATGGGCTTCTGGACTTCCATCAGGAACTGAGTAACCACACAGCTTAGATTGTGTTTCCTTGAAGTCGTATTCATTTGGAGGAGTCTTCCTGAGTGGACAGACTAGATCTAGTTGAGATCATCAGTAAGGAATGGTGTGGCCTTTTCTGAAGAAAGACTTGGTAGAGTAGAAGTCATAAACTCGTGACTCACAAAACATTTTCAGCCCACAGACGAGATTATTTCTTTTAATGTCATGGCTTTGAAAAAAAAAGTTGACAATATAGAAAATTGAAGAGATTTTGCATAAAATTCGCATTTCCAGCTTCTTATAAAAAAATCTAGTAACACATGAAATATTTCATATCCACAATTGGCATAAGCTGAGTAGCCACTTACCCTTAAGAGGGGCCACAGGCTTTCTACTTCTTCATGCCCTGGCACCTCATGGCTCTGTAGGGCTTTGAATTTGCTGCCCCTGGGGCCAGACATCTAAGAGGCCAAAACAGGAAATCATGAATTGTTCTTTCAAATGTGACCTGCTTGAAAGTGGCTGTCGCTTGTGCTTACTCTTTTTACTTGTGCACAAAGAACGACCATTAGAAGTGTTTTCGTATAGGGAACAGGACAGTTACATGCAAAGTGGAGAATTTTACACTACTTACCTGAATAAATCAGGCATACAAAGAAAATCCTGAAATGATGATATTAAAGTGAGATCTGAGATTTGAATTATGCAGGGGTAATTGCCTTAGTTTTCCACCTCACTGTTTCCCCTTTGCTTTCCTCACATGGACATAATCTTCAGAATGGTCCTCTGTCAAAGGCCACCATCATAATTCCCCTGCCTCTTTTTTTTTTTTTTTTCTTTTCTCAAACTCATTTGCACTCTCGGTAGCAATTGTTGGAGCCCTGCAGGGGAATAATTGCAGAGGAATTAACTTCTGACATTTTTTCTAAAAATAGCCCTACTAAATCCAATCATAGGTAATTTACCTGTCCGTGTTCCTCCGGGGTAACCAGGGTTGAAGAAAGACGTGGCAGACTGGCATTCCTTCAGCAATTATCTGTGATGTGGGTTCCTGGAGCCTGTGTATTTTCTTCGTTCTGAAATACGGAGTACAAATTGCCCTCTCCCCTCTGACCTTGTGACCCTGTTTCTCAGCACCTTGCTCCTGGGGTCAGAATAAGGCCGTGCTCTTCCAGAAGGGTGTGTTGGGCTCACCAGGAAAGAGAGAGCATGGGTCAAGCTGGAGCATTTGTGGGGTCCCTTCATTTTCCATGTCTGAGCTTCAAGACCCCCCCCTCCCCCCAGCCCTGGTGCGTCACAGTCCTCAGCCCGCATCTGAATAGCCGTACTTGAAACCTGTTTGGAGAAGTTTCTCTGTGTAGAAGGAATGAGAATGCAAAAGATCCTGGGTGGGTAAAATGTCTGGGGGTTGATAGAAATTCTCAAAAAAAAAAAAATGTGCCATTTCCCGGAACCATTAAAGAAATGCGTTTTCTCTTGCCCCAAACAAAAGGGTCTGCATGTGTTTTCCCCTTTTGTTCTCTCCAGATGTTCCAAGAGCCCACCGTGCAGTGTGGGCATCTAGGAAATTGACTTTCTCAAATGCCACTTCTCGTGGCGCTTAAAATACAGAGCATCAAATCCTTGTAAATTCCACTGCAGAGACAAAGCCCAGAGCCCTTCAATGCACAGAAAAGTATATCTATTATCTATCGTTTCAAAGTAAGTGTGCAGTTACTTTAATTGCCTTTGTCTTCTCCTTTTCAGCTGACATTATCTCTACGGTAGAATTCAACCACACGGGAGAATTACTAGCGACAGGGGACAAGGGGGGTCGGGTTGTAATTTTTCAACGAGAGCAGGAGGTAAGTGGCAGTGAATGCAAAATGCCCATTTTCTTCTCTTTTTAAAGGAGGCCTCCTACTGTTCCTTAATCCTCATGTGTTGCCCTTAACCTTGCTGCTTTGCTAGCAAACTAAAAACTGCCAAAAAGTCATTAACATCAACAGTTCCACATTCAGGCTCCTAAAAGCACCTGATTAATAGAGCCTTTCCTGAGCAGGCCTAATCTTTCCCAACCTGGGTGTTGCACCTTCAAAACGACCTCACTTCCCATCTGACCTGCGAAATTCCATGGGTGTTTGTTGAGCAGAGAACTCCTTTTTGAGTGGGATTTCTCTTCCAGCCATTGAAATTAAGTCTCCCGGTTTCAGGTGCTCCTACAGAATACGTAGGAAGGGAATAAAAAAATAGCTCTTTGCCAACAGATGTGAAAAGGCCACCTGGGGTCAGTAGAGAAGAAAGTGATAGCTCACCCCACCAAAGGGAGTGAAATCCCACAAAAAGACATCTCCGCAATGCATGCAGCCTGCGCTTTACTGTAGGTGTCGCAGAGGTCCCTGGAGCTCAGTGCTGTGTGCATTCTGAGCAGGAGTTTGAACTTCCAGTGAATTGAATGTCAAAAAGCCCATTTCCTCCTGAGAATTGGGCTCCACTAGGAATTGTTTCTCTTTTTCATATAAATTGAGTTTTTTTGGTGTCTGCTTCTGTTTTGTCAGAACAGAATTACGGCCCAATCTGATTTCCTTGGACTCCCCTGGCATGGTCCTGGAGCTTCCAGCAGGCCCGTGTATGTTCTAGGACCTCTCCCATCTGTTACCGCCTGCCTCTGAGATTCACCAGGCCCAGCGCAGGGGGAGGCCCAGTGCAGGAGGAAGGATTCACAAGAGACTTCCCTAGCAATTGAAAGCCTGCTTTGTGCCTCAAAGCCATTTATGTTCCCCTCCCCTCAAAAAAAGGAAAGCCTCATTTAGAGGTGATATATTTGGTAATTGCACATTATTTGCAATTAATTTCTATAAGGGCATCGTGATCCCTCGGGGTTCTGCATAAATTCAAGTGTTCAGCATTAAATCAGGCACCCGGCCTATTCCACTGGCCCTGGAAACACGAAAATGTGGTTGGCAAGTAGGAACTAATAGCTCTTCGTGACCTGGAATTTTTCCTGCTTTTCCAGAGCTGCCTAGTGCTAATTGGTCTGGCACATACTACACACACTTGACAGTCTGATTTGGATGGTAGCAAATCAGAACTCTTATAAATTTATTGTTAAGGTGGACTGGCTGTCTCTGTAGTAAGCAGGATATCAGCATTTAAAGTCCTTTTAAAACTGATTTTCAAACCTTCTTCCATTTTAAAAGAAAATCCAATTAGGTCCATAGTGATGATAAAGAAGAACCAGAGCCACTATTTAACATAAATTACCCAAGGCAGCATGTTGCTGGTCATAATCTGCTCCACGATTTCCATTAGCTGTTTGTAGGTTTCACCTGTTTTAATTGACCAAAATATTTGAGAAGCCTGAGTCAGTAGAAGGGAGGGGGACACGTATTCCAAAGGAGGGTGGTTTTGTTGAATAAAAAATAGATGTTGAGGAAAGGAGCATACCGTTGAGTGTTCCACTTTGTGGCGAGGCTTCGGGTTGGAATGAACTCGAAGCCTGAGAAACAAAGCCAGGTGACAACATCTAAGGCTGGCTTCTGACTTCTGTGAGTGACTTCTCAGGAGGCACACTCCACTCCTGGACAATTTACTCCTAGGACCCTCACAAATATGCTCAACACAGGCCATCAGCACCATCACCCATCAAATTGAGTAAATGGAGACTTGGGTTTGAATGTTCAATATCCATCCAGAAATATGACTTTTTTTAATTGAGCCTTTTCTTCAGAGTCAAGCTTCTATGACACATGTTCAATAAGACCTGAATTTGAATTTGTGAACACAGTTTTCCAAAGCCTGAATCTGGAAGCTCTTGGTAATAAGGTCCTAAAACACCTGAAATAAAAACTCCCTTTTCTTTTTTCCCCTTCTCCTGTTTCTTTAACACCTTCTTTGTCCTCTCCGCCCTTCTTCTTGCCCTTGCCCCCTTCTGCAGATCCTTTAAGTTTCGTTCTAGCATCCTTAATGTAGTTCCTGCTCTGCGCACTGTGCTCACTGTGCATAACGGAGATGGGGGGATGTGGGGGGGAGAGTCTGACAGTCCTCCCAGGGACTCCGGTGGCGTCTCTGCACTCATGTCCGTTTTGTCACTCGTGCCAGAAGAAAATGGGGGGAGGGACAGATCTGATGTCCAAATCTGCTATGTATAAGCCGTGTGACCTTGGAGAGGTCATTTTAATACTTCTGAGCCTCTTTTGTCCATTTTCCTGCACTGCCGACCTCTCAGAGGTTCTCTGAGAATCTGGTGAGATTTTAAAAGGCCAGCGAAAGGTGCAGATGCCATAGCTTTGGAGTCTTTGTGAGGGATTAATAGACGTGTGGACTTCGGTGTGGGATGGCTCCCTCTGAAGGGTGCCCAAGACATCCATTAGGATGTCCGAAGAAAAGATTAGAATTTCTCTTTATATGTATTTTTAAGTTGTCCTATTTTAATATCTATTTCTGTGTATATGCTATGGACACCATATATTAGTGCAGAAGTTCCTGCATATAATTTATAAATAAATAGTTGCATATTGGAGGTGCCAGTATTGACCAATAGGGGTGCATGACCAATGCTGGGCAGGCCAGTAAGCTAAGGTAAACTTGTTGCCATGGTTCTGCCCTCATTCTACACTGACGTGGCCCGCCCATCCCACCCCAATGAGTCTGCCCCAAAAAAGAAGGAATTGGTGAATTTGCAGTTGGCTTATGTGATTTCATCTTTCGTGTGTGTTGTTTTTCCCTTCCTACAGAGTAAAAATCAGGTTCATCGTAGGGGTGAATACAATGTTTACAGCACATTCCAGAGCCATGAACCTGAGTTCGATTACCTGAAGAGTTTAGAAATAGAAGAAAAAATCAATAAAATAAGATGGCTCCCTCAGCAGAATGCAGCCTACTTCCTTCTGTCTACTAATGGTACGTAGAGGTGACTTTGCCTGTTTGGTATTCGCAGAGATACAGTCAGCAAGCCATGTATTTGAGTCTCTCTTGCGCTCAGTTTTTCTTTTTACCTTGCGAGCTGTTTGAAAAACTTCCAAACTGCATTTGCGAGATGTCTACCAGAGTGCCCGGACCAGGGTAGGCCGTCCGTATATAGCACTTATCCTTTTTAAAAAAATAACAAATTTATGACCGAATTACGTGAGACCCATTATCCATAGTTTTTGATTAATTCAGATGATTTCCAGGTGTTTTTAGAATCTGACTTCCTTTCTTAAGATTCACTAAGTATTATTCTGGGAACACATTTCAGAAAACTCAACATGCCATCCCTATGAGTTTGGCATACTGAATAGAAATTATTAATCCCTGAATATATTTGGGGGTTTGTAAAGGAGATGGCTAGGCCTCTCTGATACCCTCAAGTTTTTGGCCAGGAGCGCAGGTCAAGAAGAGAGGGGGGCCTACCAAAAAAGAGACCAAGAAGTGATTTCTTTCTCTCTCTCCCCCTCCATACTCTTCCTATACCGTTTGTTGTTAGGGAGTTGGATAGAGAGCCAAATTCCATACTAATTTCGTAAAACCTTTACACAGTGGAATGACCTGCCCTTAAGGTTCATAATACCCTTGCTGAAAGAAGCCATCTATGCTCAGAACAATTCAGAATAAAATCATATACTAAAGGGTGCTAATCGAATAGCGTCACAATTAAGAGGGTTAGTGTATAAAAATTGAAAAACCTCTATCAAGCAAATAAACTGGGGAGCGCTTCATTTCATCCCACGTGTGAGTCTGCCTAGGAGGAATATACATTTAAGCATAAGTCAAGAAGCCAGGGATTTGCTTTTTTGCCTATCACCAGCACTGACAAGGTATTGCTCACATGTGTGTAATAGGATCAGACATATATTAGTGTTTTTGAAGACAGAAAGGAAACACGCAGAAAGATTTATCATGATTAATTTTGGATTGTGCAAGTTGAGTGTCTTGTAGATTTGCTCCTTTTCTCATTTTTCCTTTCTAAGTCTTTACAGTGAATTTTATTTTACTCTTCTGAAAAGAGGGGGGAAAGTTTTTTAATGCATATGAACCCAAACTCCCTTGATTATAAAGCCAGTGTACAAATCTAAACACTCGCACTTCTGAAAAGCCCAGTCTGGGGCTATTCAAGCATGGCTTATCTCAACATGACCAGATCTCCACTCATCTGTTTTTCCAGATTCTCAGTAATTTAATTCTTTCTCAGAACTGTCTGTATTGTTCACTTTACTTTTTTCAACCCTGATTTCTTAAAAGCCAGACCACATGAATGTTTCTTCTTTTTTTGTTTGTTTCACTGGTGAAGTTTTACTTAAAGGCTCTGCATATCCAACCCTTTAGAATAAAAGATACTTCTGATGATGTTGACTTAATTATTGCCGGCAGAGGAAAAGTGTCTGATTATCTGCTATGGCTAGCTTACTTTATATTGTGAAATTTACCCTATTGATTTTTACTATAAAATCCAAAGCCTTATTAACTGCTTTGTGGGGAGGGGGGACCAAAATCATTGAAATGCAATGAAGATTAATTATATAGCATAATGTTCTGTTAATTGAGTTTTTAAATAGTTTTTTGATTAACAAGGATATTATGTTCCCATTTGGGATGCTATTTCATATGCCAACAGCATCTCAAAATGATTCTTAGAAGAAAAATTCCCATGTTCTTATGCAATTTTCTTTTTTGTGCTAATATTGAGGTTGAGAATTCCCCTTAAGCCAAATAGGTTAACATGCAAAAATTAATGAAAGACAATTGGAATTACTGTACAAAAGAGAAAATGAAGATAGATGATAAGATTGTGTTTAAAAGCTGCCACAAGTAATGATAAACTATTCAGAGAGCCAGCCAGAAAAAAGAAAAAGTCATTACTCATAGTAACAGCCACATGTTCCTTAGACCTTTTTTATCCACAAAGCTTCAAGATACTAAGTCAAGAAAAATTGTGTGATAATAAAGTCGAGAATGACTCCAGGCAACCCAGCCATGGGGAATTGGATTGAATTCACCATCAATTATCTTAAAAAAAAAAAAAAAGTGCTTTTCTCATTACAGTTGGGTGCAGTTTTTATGTTCTGCTGGCATATATTTTCAACTTTACCATTTTTCATGAAAAATAAAACCAACATTCCATTGTGAATCTAGACTTTGAAATTACTTGGCAGGTGAAAACACGTTGCTTTACCTTGCTTTCTACTTCTGTCTTAATTCTTATGATGAGAGGGAAAGGTATACTTGATTTGGTTTGCGTGCTATGAAAGTAGTATGTGTTCATCATAAAAAAAAAATTTAGAAAAAAACAGGGAAGCAAAATGAAGATAATAAAGTGTTTACACCCAGAGAGAACCAGTATTAATGTCTTTTAAAGAAAAAAGCAGACGTGGATAAATAGATAAATCTTTTTGCTTCTTAATGAAAATGGGATTAATCTATAAGCTGTTCTGCAACAAGATTTTTTTTACTTAAAAATATAATACTTAACAACAGGAGCATCTTCCTACTTGTTAAATATCCTTCTAAAATATCATCACCTTTTCAATGACTGCATAGCATTCCCTTGTATGAGTTTTCTATAATTTACTACTAAATCTCCCTTTATTTGACCTTTAATTATTAACAAATTCTTACTATTATAAATTAGATATTTATAGGAGTAGATGTTAGTATGGATAGATATGATTAGGAAAAAAGCATATCATAAATTATTCATAGAATATTATATATATTAAAAAGTAATGTAATTGCACACAAAACTATAATGAAAGGATGTATACAAAATTTTCCTAATAGTTTTCTTTGTCTAGTGGAATTGAAGGAAATGTTAAATTTTTTTTTAACTTTCTGGCTCATTTTCATTTTTTGCAATTATATTTACCACTTATGTAATAAAAGAAGGAAATAAAATATAAAATCTGTATATGCAGTATTACTATAGGTTTGTACCCCACCCCCCAAAAATGCAGAGAAAAAAATACCCTAAGTATCTCTGCAAAATGTTAACAAGGATTGTTCCTGACTAGAGGGATTGTAGTTGATTCTTACTCTTTATGTTCTACCTGTGGTTTCTCTATTTCTCTGTGTAGCAATGTATTGTTCATAATAAAAAAAAAAAAAATAGAAGAGAAGAATCACCTTGCAAACGGGACAGGATATATCCCAAAGCCGAGCAATAGGAAATATTCGGTGTTAAATGTCTCTGATTTGTGTTGTTCTGAGTCACAGCTGACTGGTCACTAATCCAGCAACTATAAAACAGGACTTCTGCTTCATTTTCTCACCCTAAATAATGCAGTGCATGCGGCAGCAGGGTATCCAAGAGAGGGTAGGAGCAGAGGACTGTTGGCGTACAGATAGGAAGTTTAGAATTCAACTCTGGATCTGGGAACGGCTTCCTTGTCTTCTGTCCCAGTACAGGCCAGGGGGAGCGCACAGTTCAGGGCGCATACATCTTACACTGAGCAGCCCGGCCCGGTCTGCCAGCACACGTGACCAGCTGGAATCATTCCCAGATAATAGGAAACAGGGGCACTGACCTGTTAAAGTAGCCAAATGGTTGCTGAAAGCCGACTTCAGAATGGGGTGCATTTCAGATCTCTGAGGGCCACGCCTTTGGCGAGGAGACATGGAGAAGGGAGATGAAGGGGCGAAGGAGAAAGAGAACCCTACTAGAGGCCGGGGGAGGGCCGGCTCTTCTCCCCACAGTATTACGGAGGAGATGGGATGTGCTGACATCACCGCGGGATGAAACTATTGCTGTCAGGGCAACATGTTATTAACAGAGAATAGTTGCCCCCTTTGCAAATTCTAACAGCTGCCCTTAGTCATCCATTATTGGCAGGCCACCCCTGTGTTCAGCACTATATGCCCAGTGTTCCATTTCATCCTCCTGAGAGCCCCGTGGGGAAGGCACTGTTTGCCCCAACTGACAAATAAACCGAGGCATAGAGAAGTTAAGTGCCTTTATTTGTAAGGTTGAAATATGTGGGACATACTTATACTAAAAACTCCTTTGTTGTTTCTCTGAATTTCACATTGAATTGGGCGTTCTGTACTCTTTCTCCTGATAAATCTGGTACTCCCGCTTGTCACTTGAAGAAACGGGGCACCTACTACCTGGGAACCCCTGTCCTTGGCCACGTGGCTGGCTGGAGTGGGAGTGAAGGTATGGCCCAAGCTTGTCTGGTTCCCAAGCCTACCCGATGCAGGCACAGAGGAAGAAGGCATTCGAGTCCCTGCCTTCCACAAGAAAAGCTAGAGCGAAAACAAATCGTGAATGCAGGACCTGTCCCGGAACACCTGCAGACGCACGTGGGCCACACATAGGGTCTGATTTCGTGTTTTCTTAGGAAAGGGAAGGACAGCCTGCAGGTGGGGCATGCCATCTCCTGCCTCCCAGAGGCCCCCAGCCCCTCTCACTCGTCCCCCCAGCCTGCCTCACCCCTGTACACATTGGAGATCTTGCCCTGCTTTATTGCTATGGAGAATGACAGGTGTCAGCCAGTGATGGAAAGTGCTGGAACAGTACACAGGGAAGAAAAGTAGTTTCCAGCTAGGGATTCCAAGAAGACTGCAAGGGGAAAGGAGCGTTTGGATGAACATTCTTAGGGTTTTATATCTCTGAGCATTGCTAGCAAGATGCACTGTATAGACGGGATTCATTCGTTCACGCACCCAGCAGTTATTGAACATTCACTGTGTCCCAGGCACGGTTGTAGGTGCTAGATGTGTAGTGATGGACAAGACAGAATCCCTGCCTCCAGCGAGTTTACATTCTCAGGAGGGAGACGTAACAAAGCGTTGTCACATAGTGAGAAGTGGCGAGAGGAAACATTCAAGCAGGCGGAGCGGGCGAGAGAATGGTAGGGACATTTTTGATGCAGGTTGGTTAGGAAAGGCCCCTCTGGGGGTGGGACACGAACAGAGCAAAGTGAAGGAGCAAGTCACCTGCAGAAGACGGCCGAGGGCTTTCGGGGAAAAGGCGCAGCTAGTGCGAAGCCCAAGGCAGGCGTGGGGACCACAATGTATATGGGGCGCTGTAGAGAAGCCACATGGCTGGAGCACAGGGCGAAGGGGGCGGGCAGGCGGCGAGACCGGAAAGGGTGAGGAAGTGTAGGTCACGGAGGGCCTTCCAGGTCACGGTCGGGGCCGTGCTTGCTGGGGTGGGACCCTGAAATGGGGATACCTATCTCTTGGGGTTATGGTGAGCATTAAATAAATTTTCCATGACAAGTGCTAATAACATAGTGACACAGCTAGTTCTGTATATGTGACTGCTCTTATTCAGTGTTCAATAAATATTTTTATTGAATGAACCAAAATAGTATATAAGCTCCAGATGTCATAGGCCATTGGTCTGGGCACACTATTTGGTTTTGTGCTGAAACTTGAGCTCTGCCTCCAGATGACATAAGATTTATGCCCTGAATCCCTGACGTGAACAGCAGTCCCTTCCATCCTCGGCTCCACCTCCCCCTGCCTCCCGCCCCACCACCTCTCGCCCCACCACCTCTCCAAACACAAAACTCCTTGACAAGCTGGTTTTCACTGTAATTTTGATTTCCTCTGGTTGCCCTCCACAGATAAAACTGTGAAGCTGTGGAAAGTCAGCGAGCGTGATAAGAGGCCAGAAGGTTACAATCTGAAAGATGAGGAGGGCCGGCTCCGGGATCCTGCCACCATCACGACCTTGAGGGTGAGCCCAGGGGGGCAGCTTTGGCCCCCGTCTTTCGCTTCTCTTGGCCACTGGGTGCCGAGGAAGGGCTCCCCGGTGTGGCCACGGGCTGGGCGCGGCTTTAGGTTGCAACTGTCACGTGTGAGTGAAGGAGATGAAGCAGAGACTTGCTCTGAGTCTCTGACGGCAGAGGGAGGGGCGAGACGGGTCTGAGCTCTGACCACTACAAATGCATGTCCTTCATTTATCCCCCTAAGACTGGCCCACAAGGCCACTACCATGCATTACTACAATCTCAGCCTCTGCTCACAGTATCAAAAATGTTCTGAGCATCTTTTGTACTCAAGGTGCAAGGGATGGGACTACCCAAGTGGCAAGTTGGGATCTTGTGATTTAGAACATTAACTTGTGAATCTAAGGGGCCTGGGTTTGAATTCTGCCCCTCATCAGAATCTCATGTGGTCACTTAACCCTTTTGAACTTGAGTCATGCAAGTTATTTTTAGTTTCTCTGTCTGTAAAACAGTGAACCTACTACTTACTCAATAAAACCGTGAACCCCATACTTGACTAAAAATGTGCTGGGGGTGGAAAGCCCTCCTTCCATGGCCAGTCCTCAATACGTGATCTCTGCTGTTAGTCTGAGCAGCTCCCTCCCTGCCCTCCAGAAATACACAGTCTGGTAGAGAAAGGATTTGTAGGTCTACTATAAAGATGCTTATGGCACTAAATAGAGTAAGAGAAATGCAGGGAGTGTCAGAGAGTTACAGTTTGATCAAAGGAGGAAGAAATGGTATTTGGCTCTAAGAGACCAGGAAAGGTCTCTTAGGAAAGTGGTGTTAAAAATGGATTTCTAAAAGCAAACTTTTAAGGGAAGGCTCTCTGGATGCAGGTTAAAGTGGTTCAGGACTCGGTGGTGAGTTTGGTTTTGGATGTGTTTAACCTGAGTGGTAAAGCAGACACATGTTGAGACCAGCCCTAGCCCCAAGGGACTTCCCAAACTGTGTCAGATACGTGCTTTCAGATACCAGCCGCTCTATTAAAGACCGAAAACCGAGAAGGGGCACAGTGCAGTACATGTGGGGAGAAGAGGTGGTCACTCGAGGTTCAGAAGCAGCTACGGGAATTGAATGATTAGTGCCTGATTAGCCCGCTTGTTTGTTTATTCATTAATTCATTTGTTCCTCTCTTTATTCAGCAGGTGCTTCTTTTTTTTTTAAGATTTTATTGATTTATTTTAGAGAGAGCGTGAGCAGGGGGAAGGGCAGACGGAGAAGGAGAGAATCTCAAGCAGGCTCCCCGCTGAGTACGGATCCCAATGTGGGGCTCAATCTCATGACCCTGAAGTCATGACCTGAGCTGAAACCAAGAGTCGGACACTCAACTGACTGAGCCACTCAGAGGCCCCCAGCAGGTGCTTTATGAACTCAGGCTTGTCACTGGCCACAGTGCTAGGCTGTTGGGTACCCAGTAGTCCCGGGTACCTGGTCGTTGGTCTTCTGAGCAAATAAGCATTGGCTGTTCTGTTTCCTCTTGTCAGCCTGTGCCTTCAGCCTGAAGAACTGCCATGCAAGTCTTCCATATCAGGCTGGGCTGATGCTCTAAAGGCTCGGAGGTTTTGCAGAGCCGAGGGTAGAGTAGTGAAGAGTATGGACATTGAGTCAGTCAGTCTGTCCTGGGTTAGAACTGTGGCACCATTGCTTTCCACCTGGGGACCTTGGACATATTAATTAAAGTCCTTGTGCCTCCCAAGTCCCACGTGCATTACAAGGATTCACTGCTTTCTGGGATTTTTGTGAGAAATCTGTGCTATCTTGTGTGTGATGAAGTGCTTAACGTTGTCGTGTCTCATTCCCAGAAAGCACTCACTAATGTGTGTTCCCTGCTGTTGGTTTGGTATTATCTTCATCATTATCATTATCACAGCTGTTATTACTCCCTACTAACACAAGAAAGTTCATATTCTTTTCCTTTTCATATACTTTTTATACTGTTATATTCAGTCTACAAGCCATTCACTGATACCTAGTGAGCGGCAGGCGATCCACTGGCTGTCCAAGGGGAATAAGACAGTCTTTTGCTCCGTGGAACTCAGCAGTCCTGTGGGGAAAACAGAGAGCTTAGGTGCCACTGGGGAGTTCACAGCATGACCTTCTGCCCAGTTGTCACCTTGTCCTTGTTTGCTCTGTGGACGGACTTTCTCAGATGCCGTCTGTAGTTCCCACAAAGAGTTCCTGGTGTCCCTGGCATTCTATGGGATTTCATATGCCTTGTGGTTGGCCGCTCCGAGATGCCACCCTCATGATGAAGAGAAGGCCTCTGTGTATGTTTCCATTAGAGCGGAGATGCTGAAGTGGACTTGGTACCCATCAAACGTGGAAAGAGGCCTTGAGGTGTGGCTGCAAGTTAGAAAACCCCAATTCTGGTTCTTGCTTTCGTCTTAACAAGCTGTGTGACCCGTGGCCAGCAAATCACATTTCTTCTCTCCAGTCTTAGTTTCCGAGCTGCCACACAGAGGACTGAATGGTCTGTGCTGTTGCATCCGCGGTGCGAGTTCCAGATTCCCAGGACCCGACCCCAGTGATTCCCTTCAGCAAATGGAGGTGATCCAGTGAAATCTACATGTTTAACACAAGTCCCTGGTGGTTGAGACAGAGGGTCTGTGGTCACTGGATTTTATCATCTCTAAGGCTCCCCTGAGCTATCATTTTTTTTATGAGCCTCTGCTACTTTTCAATCATTTCAATAATTACTACATCAACTAGAGAGACACATTTGCTATAATACTGTAAATACCCATATTTGATTTCACCCCATCTACTTTCCTAGGCTTTCCAGTATCCTGTGTTTCAGTGTAATCATCCACACTGCAGCATTCTTTGGATGAAAACACTGAAAAGGCCAGCCTCCTTTCCGTTTTGATCCCAGTAGTAGAAGAAGGAAAAAAAAAAACAAAAACAAAAAACAAGCAACCCTGAAGACCATAGATTCAGAACAATGACTCCAAACAGAGAATGAGCTGACGTGATATTAATCAGACTGTAATTTACTAACACGCTCCTCTCTCGAAATTTGCATTGCCAGCATTTGTGGCTTTTTCCCCCTCCCTGCCTTATGATTACCTCTTGCTCACTTTTCATACTTTCCAGTTCTGTGCGGATCTTGAGAGTGAGAACATTTAATAATACCCGACAGCTAATTAATCCTCACTGAGTAATGAACCTGTTCTGTTTCAGTGCTAGGAGGCTCAGCTTTTCAAAGCAAGAATGTGGCTATTTTCTTTTTTCACGGAAGAGATAGCCTTTTAAATCCAATCACTCATTACCCAGAGAGGCACCATATTGCCTGCTCAGTATATAACATCCAAAGCACTAATCATAACGATAATTTAATAATAACACCTTATAGCTGTAAAGTGCCATTTATATCACCAGTTGTTTTCTTACCTAATCCCTTGATTCATCTTCAGAACAGCCAGTGGGAAGGCCAGTGAAAATGCTGGTACCTAGTATTATTATACCCCATGCACCATGCTGCACACTCTATCTGCATCAGCTACCACCTGTGGGACAGTTTGCTATTAAATACCCATTGTACAGATGAGGCTCAGAGAGGTTAAGTATGCCCAGGATCACGCAGGACTAAGAATCAAATCTTGATCTCCTTTGCTGTGGACCTGAGCCCTTAAACCTGGTGCAGTCTCAAAGAGAGAAGTGACTTGCCCAGTGCCTGCCAACTGGTGATTCCAGAGCTGGGACTAAAAATGAAGAGCTATGGCTCTTACACTTGGACACGTACACTGGAGGTTAGTACCAGTATTATTCCAGATCAGGATGCCTGTCTCTCTCTCTCCCCACCTGCTCTACTTTTCTCTCTCACCCCCACATTCATACACAGTGGGTTTTCAGATCCCTGACCTCAGAGTGCGGGAACAGTGACCCCAAGGTCTTCAGTAATTCAGCTTAGCAAGTTTCCCCTGGCCTTCCTGCCCAGCCTCCCAATAGCAAGGTGTAAGCAGCCCTCAGAACCCTTTCTAGTCAAAAGAAACTCATAGTTCTAGTGACTTCATCAGCCTGGGATGGAAGCTGGGTGGTGAGAAATCACACTTAGCATATTTCTCCGTGCAGGAGGAGCCTGGAGTTATTTGCCTCGTTATGGTTGGCTGCCAGTGCCCTGGGAACCTAGGCCAGATTGGAATTTGTTTTTTAACAAGTTATAAATGTAGATTTCAGAAGGTGTGATCTCCCACGCTGTGACTTTGCCATAACCGCCCCCCAAAATGAAGGGGCTGTAATGAATTCCAGTTTTCTAATGGATTTTACCTAAATCTTCCTTATAGCTAATGTAAATAATAATAATAACCATGTTTATTAGGTGCTTACTCTATGTCAGATGCTGGATTTCATATCCTTCGATCATGTAGTTCTACCAGTAACTCTGCCAGGTACGTTCTCTTACTCTCTCTGTATCATCCAAAGCCTGCCTTCCTCAGAGAAGCTCTCCTAGAATTCCCTAGGGAAAATCACACCCTCGGATCTTCCCCTTCACTTTTGGTGGCCTTACCCTGCCCCTTGTTTGCTAGCTTGTATCCTTACCTAAGATATCAACTGTCCATTTTCCGCTGCCCCTCCACCTCCTCTTAAACGTAGCCTCCAAGGAAGCAGGAGCCACGCTGGGTTTCCTCCCATAGCCCCAGCACCTAGAACACACGGCACATGGTAGGTCATGTGTTTGTCAAATGAATGCATTACACAGAAGTGGAAACAGAGTCTTAGTGAGGGCAAGGATTTTACCCAAGATCTCATGGCTAGCAAATGGCAGAACTGGGATGCAAACCTACTCTATCTGATCCCAAGTTTTCATTATGATTCCTTATAGTTTCTGCCTTCTAAGAAGATACTAATTCACGATCGGAGACAGGGGAATTTCATTCTTTGTGTACCTTGGAATTCTTCAGCACAGCTTTCTTAATGCATGAGCTTGACTTTGGTGGGGCAGGGGGAACAGGGAATGAGGACTGCA